CAGTTCCGGGAAATGGAGCCGAACTTGGTCAAAATCACGATGCGCTTAAGACGGTCTCGGCTACTCTTTTTAAATTGTTCACTTTCACACTGGTTTGCTTGGGGTTAGCTTTTATTTATTAGCTAGGGAAATACCATAAAATATAATAGACTACGAAAGTCAGCTTTTGTAATTTAATTTTGCGGGATTTGATAGATCAACCTGGTGGAGTAGTGGTAAGAGAGGTAATGTTGGTATGCGAGAGGTACTGGGTTCAATACTGGGTGGCTATCTACAACTTTAGTTTTTCTTTAATTTAGTAGAAAAAAGATTAATTGATAGTTTAAAAAAATAATGTATCGCGAAAATGGCAACGACCGTTTACGAACGAGAAGTGCATGGCCGAGCTGCAGAACATTCATTCCTGATGATGTAGGCTTAAGCTACTTGTTCAAGGGTCGATATCACAGCGCCACACCACAGCTTTGTATAAATCAATATACACTTCCTTCGAATCTATATAGCGCACACGTGGCTGCGTGCATGCACTCATAATGTAATTTGTCCCTGCTGCAGGGAGGCCAAATCAGTGAACACGGCCGTTCCAAAATATCTCGATATATACTGGATTACGATTGCGTTACAAGACGTCAACGCAATCATGTGGGAATATTTAACGTTCAGAATTGAGAGATCAAAGCGAATAGATATAGAGCGTTTCACAATAACGTCACAGCAGCCATGTTGGTGTTCCAAACCAATCCTGTGAGAGTTCAACTCTTTTCTTATGTAAACACTTTCTTTTGTTTCAATACATTTGCATGGCTGCTGGCCACGTGAGTGAAAACGCTCTATTTATTTATGTGCACTCGACATTCCTCCCCAAGACTTCCCCTATTTTAATCGCGATATTTTCCTGACATAGTAGCAAACATCACATTATTTCACATCAAAACGTTTAATATGTTAGCTGGCGATCTCAATGCTAGAACAGGTAAAGCTAATGACTTTATTGATGACGAGAACTGTAATTTTATAGCTGGCAGTAACATGCCATTACCATTTACTCTACCGCTTGGGCTGAACTTTGACGACAACACTAATGATCATGCTTCCTTTTCTGTTTCTACTTGAGTAAATGTACATAGCAGCAACTGGTAAAACATTCAACCTGGACGTTTTCTGTATTACGTTTCACAAACTACTGAGAAGTATCACTATTTAAAACGTTTTTTTTTTTTTTTGTGAATTATTCTAGGCTAAGAAGCCGAACAGCACATTACATTTGTCATTCAAATAGTGAGGAAGAGATCCCAGAAAAAAAAAAAAATGCTCGCGAATTTGTGTGCATGGCAACTACTTTTCCTAGTCAGGATGTTATTTTATTTTGTAAACGATACAATGGTTTTCGTCTGTATTTTTCAGTTCTTTATAATCTGAAACAAGTTTAAATTTCTTAACTAGGCTAAGCTAAAAACCGACAATAAAAAAAGAGTAGACCCAGTGTTCCTGGCATCTGTTATCGAGCTTTGGAGCGTTCCATATCTTCAATAATGGCCAATAGTTTCTGTTTTCCTTTTTTGGTCACGTGAGAACCCACACCACACATGACCAAACTTGTAAGCTGCTTTGCAGTATATTCCTGAAAACCAAACACAAACCTCCAGATATTTTGCTACACAAGGGTAACTCGAACTGTTAAATGTTCAGCATTTTACGAGGATGAGGCAAAGATAAAAAATCTCGTCAGGGTCGACAGGGATTTTTTTTTTCTTCGTCCCATGTTTACGACATGCTGAACACTTGATCTTTAACAATTTTTCGCCTGATTCAAGGACTTTCGCACCCAAATGTTCCCACGTACAATTTTTTTAAAAACTTCCTTGAGGCAGAATAAGCCTTGATAAAGAATAAATAGTATTCTTGCCTGTCCACATTCGAAAATATTTTCAGTCGCACGAGAGTAAGTCAAATATCTTTTAACATCTAACGTACAGATTGTTTCTGTTGTGTTTTTTTGTTTTTTGTTTTTTTTTTTGAAAAAAACAACAGAAACAAAATGGAGAAATTCGATAAAGGAAGCGATTTATGAAAGGCCGACCATTTAAGAACGCGAACTCTAGGTGAAGTTAACAAAACCTGTGCCAAATCCTATACTTGCTTATCTTTCTTCCTTAGCGCGCGCTTGATGTATGACTTGGCGTGACGTTGTGACATGAACTACGTGCAGAGTGAGGATGCACAGAAACAATGGGCGCGAACGTCCTTAAAATCTATTTGGAGTTATTATTATTGAACTTTCATACACTGTACGAATTTCGATTTTCTGATTGGCTGATTTGTACCACGTGATACTGGGTTGTGACGAGACAACCACCTTGACGTCATTATCGTGGTGTAATAGCCGTGGTGTAAACTCAACACACCACTGTCCTTACACCATGGCTTCGGCTGACTCAAATATAGTGGTTTCAATGCAGTGTTTCTTTGTGCAGTGTATTCAATTTGAATAATAAAAATGTTAACGCACTCATTGCTCGTGAATTATCGAGATTTACCTGTATTCGTTCACTAACAATGAACTCGAAACTTTCAATACAGCACTCGGCAAAGCCTCGTGCGGTATTGAAATTTCTCGTTCATTGTTAGTGAACTCGTGCAGGTACATCCCGATAAGTCACTCGCTGAGTGCTTTAACCTGTAAATATGAGAGAGAAATGTTCCTTTATAAATAATGGCAGCAAAAGGTTGTCTTCATGCTTTAAAAAATTCTTGTGTACTTCGTACAAAGTTTTAGCAAGACATACATGTTCAAACGTTGTCACCAAAAAGTACAATATCTTCTGAATGAACTCAAAATGAAAGTAAACATCATGCATGTACCGCATAGTAAACAATCAAACTTTAGAACATCACCTTGTGTTCTCGGATCCATCTTTCCATTTCATTTTCTGTCAAATAAAAAGCCTTTACATACGTTTCCACAAACTCTCTGTCGGGAATAGGTCTATACAAAGGACGACAATAAATCACATGAGTCTTATGAAAGAAATCGAGTGTGCAACATGTGCTATCGTGTGCTATTTCTTTCACTGTTTTTTTTTTTTTCCCTCGAATTTGACAGGGCTAACTCCCAACTAACTGACCACACAATACCAGTAAGAAGGAGGAGGAAGAGAATACAGTTAAAACTTTTTCGCCCTCGATATTGCTATCTAGAAGTGCTAGCACTAAGCACCAAGAGCTCTAAATGCACTTACCGAATATCTGTGAGTTTCTCCAGCTTCATGAGGTATTGTTGAAAGTCAAGCTGCATCAATGCTCGTCCCTCGTTGCTACATTTCTTTGCACTTGCAAACCTTGAATATAAAACGTAACTGTTAAAACACAAGCACAAAGGAAGCTATTCCGGTCAACACGTCATGAAAGCACAGGACGGTGGTTGGATGCATAGTTTTTGATCATTTGTCCAAATAAGATACTCACCCTTCCACAAAGGTTCTGTTAATAAGCCGAATGCAGTGGTCCCATAGCACTGCTCGAGTCTCCTGTGGAACTGGTATTTGTCTGCACGGGATGGAGAAATCACCTTCCTTATTACATATTATTATACTATCAACATTAAAGGAACTCTATCAATACACTTTTGAAGGTAAACTTTCTTCTGAATCAAATCATAAAGGCCTGAGAATAATTATAGTTTTGGTAGTCAGAAAAACACACAACAGTCAAACTAATGTGTTGGATAACGAACGAAGAACTTGACAAGTTCACTGCAGTTGCGCGTTGCTAATTATTCCCAGAGTCACCCCTCCTTGTTTCTGTCCTGAAGTGAGTTAACTGTTAGTCTGAAGAGCCAGTTTTCTTTTAAACACCATTTTTTCAAGACTCCTTTTTTGGTCACATGGATTACAACTTTTTTCGGTCCAGTATAATTTATCACTTCTACTCAGCTTCTACTTCGTCAAGAAATAATAGCAAAAGGCCTATGTTTTTTGTTACTTTCGGACATAAGCTGCTGACAAAGTGCAAGTGTACATTACATAATCAAATAATCAAACTTGCGAAACTCACTTTGCTAACTGGGTCAATCTCATACTAAAAACTTGTAATTCCTGGATTAAAAAAGAAAAGTCGTCAATGAAAACATCATGCATTTACTTTTACATAGTAACAACCAAATATTGGCAAACACGCCCTGTGATTAGCAATTGATAAACACGCTGCAAAGCGCGCTCAGATTTCGTCTACCTGTACGTTCATCCGGTTGTAAATATCGTAAAGATTTACACTGCTCCTTCTCAGTTAACCTCGATTGGCATAGTGGTTCCAGTCTTCAATCCAAAATAGAAATCTCAAGCTCGCAAAAGCCAATCATTAAGAGAAACTGAGTATCAAAAACATTAAAGTTGCACTCAGGCTTAAGTCATCCACATTGCCGCTACTCCAATGCAAATCAATGCCAGGTTCTCCCCAGCATTTTACCACCTTGCACTCACAATTCGCCGCTACCCATATACGTTTCAGGAAGTGTAAGAATAAATGCTATTGTACACAGTACAGAAACCCTAGTCATCAGGGGCCCGCTTGTTCAAAACAGAGTTAACTTTGGATTAGAGCTAACAGACGTCTACAGGTAAAATTACGTTCCCCAAGGGTGGATTAGTGGGTAGATTACGTAAACTCGGGTTAAGGGAGTTTAACTCCCTAACATACTCCTTGGTAGCTTTTAACGCTGTTATGTTTTCCTCTTGAAGTCAAATTACCATGCGTCAGCAAGCGGAACTTTGATGCACCAAAACATCATCACGATGTGAGTTGAATTGGACCCGCTGTTTTTCAAAAGGTTAGCCGTAACTAGCTTTTAACAACAGAAGTAAATTTCGACCTCGAGTTACTTCGATTAATTAGCCGTAACCAAACTTTTAACAACAGTAGTGACGTGCCGTTTAATTTTGACCCCGAGTTAATTCGATTTAACCTGAGGTTGGACTTAACCAGTCACAGAAGTACCACCGCATCACCGTATACAAGTACTCCCTACTGGCCACAGTTCATTTCTTACAGTACCAGTTGAGAGAATATCATTATGTATCAACCCTTCAAAACCTGATGTCAACATACAATTTCTCTTAACAGGTCCCCATACATTTCTTATAGAACTAGACATCGACTCTGAAAAGCCCCGTGAGGACGAGCCAATAGAGTATGTGTGTATGTATGTAACTAGCTGGGAGAATTCAATGATTTATTATGCCTTTTAAACTGCGACGTCAACATATAAATATTCCCTACTGGTCCCACTGCATTTGTTATAGTACTTGTTGGGAGAGTTTGTTCATGACATCGAAACAATTTACCTATCTGATGAGCTGTACGCTTGATTTCGCGCTGATATTTCAAACGAAGAAATGAAACGAAGATCTAACTTAACATCAATATGCGTAGAATACTATCAGGTAAGTTTACATAAAGTATTACCCGCACAAGAATGTCCACATAAGCGTTATGTTGTGACATAATATCACGAATGTCCCATCGTACTCCAGTCATCAACTGAAGCGTCTGAAACGCAAAACAGCAATGTCTTTGTTTCTGATAATAAAATCTCAAATATAAAATACAATAAAAGTACATTTAGATTTTGAACAGGAAAAAAACAGCCACAGGACAAAGAACCTTCTATTATAGAACAGTTAAACTCTGGAATTCACTGGACTATACTCTTAAGTTGAAACCGACACTAACGGACTTCAAACGTTGCCTGAAGAGGAGTTTAATTTCAAAATGTTTCGAGTTTTTTAATTAGTTGCTTATTCATCAATTAATTGAATTGTACATAGTTTCTATCTTTATTCCGAAAAGCCCTTTTGGGACGAATAAAGTACGTGTGTATGTATTATACATATCGGTTGTTGATGACGAGACTGGAGGCTTGAGGTTTTCGAGTTATCCTCCCGCCTTTTCATGTTAATTTGTACGAAAGCAGAAAGCAAGAAAAAAGAAATTTCAGTTGAGGCATTCGTTATAACATGAAGCTGCCAAATAACCCAGGAAACTTGACATGAGGAATGGCAGGAGGCACAGTTCTCTTGTAGAAGCTGTTCAGTTTTAGCGTGGAGCCTACCTGATCATAGTCAATAACTCTTGAGGCCACACTTCTGTAGACTGGCCGCCGTAATTCCTGGGCAGTACTCACCGTCTGAAGTGGAATCAGTACAGGCTTTATTAGATTCTTTGTGTCAAGTCATCTTTCGAACTCTCAGTTGTGAAGATTGGACAAAAGATTGTAAGATGATTCTCTCTGAACTTACCTGAGAGTAGAACTGAGAAAGAAATGCTCGCTTGTTAGCAGGTATCATGGCCTCCAGGTGTGCATGGAGAGATTCAAACTGACCAGCTAGAAACACCCTGAAATACAAATAGTAAACTGAACAACTCATCAATACACTACAATCAATTTATAAATGTCAATACACGGGATGAGGCTGCCCCCATGTCCAAGCCACAAGCTCATAACTATTAAGCACTTGATAATTAACGAAAAGTTAAAAGGAAGTAGCTAATATGTATACATAGTGACTTATGGAGCAGCTATGAAACGTAGTACAATAAGAGCTCCAGAACTTTTACCAAACAATAAAAAGAAAACAAGAATTTCAACTCACAACGATTCCGTAGCAATGATTCTCTCAGACAAACCAAACATGGTATCAACTCGAGTTAAGTCCACAAGAGGTGACAGATAAGGATGCAAAACCTAATAAAATGGAAAGAGACTTAAGTGGAGTCCTTCCCACGACACACCAACAAAATTCACATAAACTGCCATAAAACAATGCAATGAAAACCTTCATGTCATTTCCGCCAGTCATCAGTTCAGGTGGCTGTTCCTATAAAAAAAATATATTAAAACAGACACATTCATAATAACACCGTGGATGACAGCTAACGCCAAGCAAATCAGTCACCAAACATACGTCACTAACAAGTTCCAACAAAGTGGCTTCCGCATGCACTTCTAGCGACACAGAAAAAGGCTTCAACACTCACTTGAAAGACTTACTCATTCAAGTTATTGAATACCCGACTCGAATGTACAGGACTCTTTTATCAGGTAGCGCAGATTATTGGACCGATCACATCACATCTTGAACAACGGAGATTTTCCAAGCAAACCAAACTACCACTGAGGAGGGGTTTTTTTCGCATAGTGTGATCGTCCGGGTGAGGATAGTTCTGAAGTTCTGTTCCAACTGTTGTTAGTGACTGATATTTCTACAATCCTGGCGGAAGTCATCTTCAGAGTCAAGGCCTGATAAAAACAGCCATGACGCCATGATGGTTTTTTAACCAGCTTCCTAGAACTGTGCATATCGTGCAGTATTGTCGAGCATTTTCAGCGCGGCAACATTGGACATTGCAAATTTCCAATAAGAAAACACCTCATTTTCCAAAGGAGACAAGGACACAAATATGGCTAACTTGACGCCATATCTACGCTTTTGTGAAAAATAAACGGATTGCATCATTCAAAGGCAAGCAAAGAGAATAGCAATTGACAACAATTTGATGAAATCTAAACCAAACCCTAAGATAATACGATGCAAACTTTCATCTCAGGCAGAGGGCAGAGGTGCTATGGTAAAACGTCAGAAGAATCCCACAATCAGAAGTATCAACTAAACGTTTTGTGACACTTACGTGATGAATAAGATTATCTGAGATTCTCTTCAAACTTGTCCTCAATTTTATACTCAAACCATGGGCACTACCGTCAACCTGATATAAATCAAATTTAAGATTTCAAATCAATTACTTGATATAGTAAACAACTAAAGGAATATTTTATATTTTATACTCTTGATCAACAACGACGTGAATAAATTAATGCGAAGATTTGATTTTGATAGCATACAGTCTCTAAAATTTAGCATAATAACAAAGGCTCACAAGTTCTTCAAGTGAATTCCTTTGCGCGAATCGAGTCCGTTTGCAAGTTTAGAGATGGTTAAAGTTTTCGCATAAAAAGCATCCCTTTAACTAGGCAATCAAATTTGATCGAGCATTTAGCAAGCACCTGAAATTGTTCTGAAAAACAAGTAGGTACTTTCGAAAGAAATCTTCCATTAAATTGCTCGAGCACACGGCGACATGTAGACAAACTAGTGTTTAGCATGTAGGGAAAATGCGTGTACCTGACAGTGTACGATAGCTCAGCCAATCGGATTGCAGCATTTGCATTAGTTTCCAAGTAGAATTGTACTAATAATCGATAGTCATTGATTAATCGGTATGCGTCTAAATCATACACTACAAGCAGCAGTCTTACCATAACTTCAGGGGCAAAAAATGATGCAACCTGTGAAATACGTTAAATGCAAAGTAGAATAAATAACCTAAATGCAACATGAAAGCATAAAGATCGACATGACATTGGCCCATCATATGGCTGGCCTCCCGTAAGCAGCTGAACACTTGCGGACTAGCCGAAAGACAACTGACTGCACGGAGCTTCGCTCACACACAATTTCACCCTACTTTCTTCCTTGGGAAACCCCGATGTTTTAATTTTAAACTCTGAAATTTGTATTATTAGTTTTTTCGGGAGTGTGCAAATTAAGACTGCAAAACTCCATATCACTTGTCTCTTACTGACAATCCGAGAACGAATTAGGAGTAACATTACATCACACACACACACAAAATTAAAATCAGTAAAAACAGGCTGAAGTGAATAACGTTACTTTGTATTTTCCTTAAGTCATTTGGAAGTTGTCTGAGTGTAATCTTTATTCCTAATAATATCCGGTACAGATCTTGTTCATAGCAGATAAACGTAATACTCACGGCAAACAAATAATAATCAAACAACTGAGACATGCAGATTACTACATCAAAGGCAATAGGCTTCAACACATTCATCATTTGCATGTATTTACCTACAACAAACAATTAACAACAGCAAAAATACATATCAGGTACTTTATGTAATATAATGTAATATTATAAAAGTGATGATCAAGGCACTGATGCACAATAAATTGACAGCTTCCATTTGAATTGTCAAGTTGAANTTTTTTTTTTTTTTTCCCTCGAATTTGACAGGGCTAACTCCCAACTAACTGACCACACAATACCAGTAAGAAGGAGGAGGAAGAGAATACAGTTAAAACTTTTTCGCCCTCGATATTGCTATCTAGAAGTGCTAGCACTAAGCACCAAGAGCTCTAAATGCACTTACCGAATATCTGTGAGTTTCTCCAGCTTCATGAGGTATTGTTGAAAGTCAAGCTGCATCAATGCTCGTCCCTCGTTGCTACATTTCTTTGCACTTGCAAACCTTGAATATAAAACGTAACTGTTAAAACACAAGCACAAAGGAAGCTATTCCGGTCAACACGTCATGAAAGCACAGGACGGTGGTTGGATGCATAGTTTTTGATCATTTGTCCAAATAAGATACTCACCCTTCCACAAAGGTTCTGTTAATAAGCCGAATGCAGTGGTCCCATAGCACTGCTCGAGTCTCCTGTGGAACTGGTATTTGTCTGCACGGGATGGAGAAATCACCTTCCTTATTACATATTATTATACTATCAACATTAAAGGAACTCTATCAATACACTTTTGAAGGTAAACTTTCTTCTGAATCAAATCATAAAGGCCTGAGAATAATTATAGTTTTGGTAGTCAGAAAAACACACAACAGTCAAACTAATGTGTTGGATAACGAACGAAGAACTTGACAAGTTCACTGCAGTTGCGCGTTGCTAATTATTCCCAGAGTCACCCCTCCTTGTTTCTGTCCTGAAGTGAGTTAACTGTTAGTCTGAAGAGCCAGTTTTCTTTTAAACACCATTTTTTCAAGACTCCTTTTTTGGTCACATGGATTACAACTTTTTTCGGTCCAGTATAATTTATCACTTCTACTCAGCTTCTACTTCGTCAAGAAATAATAGCAAAAGGCCTATGTTTTTTGTTACTTTCGGACATAAGCTGCTGACAAAGTGCAAGTGTACATTACATAATCAAATAATCAAACTTGCGAAACTCACTTTGCTAACTGGGTCAATCTCATACTAAAAACTTGTAATTCCTGGATTAAAAAAGAAAAGTCGTCAATGAAAACATCATGCATTTACTTTTACATAGTAACAACCAAATATTGGCAAACACGCCCTGTGATTAGCAATTGATAAACACGCTGCAAAGCGCGCTCAGATTTCGTCTACCTGTACGTTCATCCGGTTGTAAATATCGTAAAGATTTACACTGCTCCTTCTCAGTTAACCTCGATTGGCATAGTGGTTCCAGTCTTCAATCCAAAATAGAAATCTCAAGCTCGCAAAAGCCAATCATTAAGAGAAACTGAGTATCAAAAACATTAAAGTTGCACTCAGGCTTAAGTCATCCACATTGCCGCTACTCCAATGCAAATCAATGCCAGGTTCTCCCCAGCATTTTACCACCTTGCACTCACAATTCGCCGCTACCCATATACGTTTCAGGAAGTGTAAGAATAAATGCTATTGTACACAGTACAGAAACCCTAGTCATCAGGGGCCCGCTTGTTCAAAACAGAGTTAACTTTGGATTAGAGCTAACAGACGTCTACAGGTAAAATTACGTTCCCCAAGGGTGGATTAGTGGGTAGATTACGTAAACTCGGGTTAAGGGAGTTTAACTCCCTAACATACTCCTTGGTAGTTTTTAACGCTGTTATGTTTTCCTCTTGAAGTCAAATTACCATGCGTCAGCAAGCGGAACTTTGATGCACCAAAACATCATCACGATGTGAGTTGAATTGGACCCGCTGTTTTTCAAAAGGTTAGCCGTAACTAGCTTTTAACAACAGAAGTAAATTTCGACCTCGAGTTACTTCGATTAATTAGCCGTAACCAAACTTTTAACAACAGTAGTGACGTGCCGTTTAATTTTGACCCCGAGTTAATTCGATTTAACCTGAGGTTGGACTTAACCAGTCACAGAAGTACCACCGCATCACCGTATACAAGTACTCCCTACTGGCCACAGTTCATTTCTTACAGTACCAGTTGAGAGAATATCATTATGTATCAACCCTTCAAAACCTGATGTCAACATACAATTTCTCTTAACAGGTCCCCATACATTTCTTATAGAACTAGACATCGACTCTGAAAAGCCCCGTGAGGACGAGCCAATAGAGTATGTGTGTATGTATGTAACTAGCTGGGAGAATTCAATGATTTATTATGCCTTTTAAACTGCGACGTCAACATATAAATATTCCCTACTGGTCCCACTGCATTTGTTATAGTACTTGTTGGGAGAGTTTGTTCATGACATCGAAACAATTTACCTATCTGATGAGCTGTACGCTTGATTTCGCGCTGATATTTCAAACGAAGAAATGAAACGAAGATCTAACTTAACATCAATATGCGTAGAATACTATCAGGTAAGTTTACATAAAGTATTACCCGCACAAGAATGTCCACATAAGCGTTATGTTGTGACATAATATCACGAATGTCCCATCGTACTCCAGTCATCAACTGAAGCGTCTGAAACGCAAAACAGCAATGTCTTTGTTTCTGATAATAAAATCTCAAATATAAAATACAATAAAAGTACATTTAGATTTTGAACAGGAAAAAAACAGCCACAGGACAAAGAACCTTCTATTATAGAACAGTTAAACTCTGGAATTCACTGGACTATACTCTTAAGTTGAAACCGACACTAACGGACTTCAAACGTTGCCTGAAGAGGAGTTTAATTTCAAAATGTTTCGAGTTTTTTAATTAGTTGCTTATTCATCAATTAATTGAATTGTACATAGTTTCTATCTTTATTCCGAAAAGCCCTTTTGGGACGAATAAAGTACGTGTGTATGTATTATACATATCGGTTGTTGATGACGAGACTGGAGGCTTGAGGTTTTCGAGTTATCCTCCCGCCTTTTCATGTTAATTTGTACGAAAGCAGAAAGCAAGAAAAAAGAAATTTCAGTTGAGGCATTCGTTATAACATGAAGCTGCCAAATAACCCAGGAAACTTGACATGAGGAATGGCAGGAGGCACAGTTCTCTTGTAGAAGCTGTTCAGTTTTAGCGTGGAGCCTACCTGATCATAGTCAATAACTCTTGAGGCCACACTTCTGTAGACTGGCCGCCGTAATTCCTGGGCAGTACTCACCGTCTGAAGTGGAATCAGTACAGGCTTTATTAGATTCTTTGTGTCAAGTCATCTTTCGAACTCTCAGTTGTGAAGATTGGACAAAAGATTGTAAGATGATTCTCTCTGAACTTACCTGAGAGTAGAACTGAGAAAGAAATGCTCGCTTGTTAGCAGGTATCATGGCCTCCAGGTGTGCATGGAGAGATTCAAACTGACCAGCTAGAAACACCCTGAAATACAAATAGTAAACTGAACAACTCATCAATACACTACAATCAATTTATAAATGTCAATACACGGGATGAGGCTGCCCCCATGTCCAAGCCACAAGCTCATAACTATTAAGCACTTGATAATTAACGAAAAGTTAAAAGGAAGTAGCTAATATGTATACATAGTGACTTATGGAGCAGCTATGAAACGTAGTACAATAAGAGCTCCAGAACTTTTACCAAACAATAAAAAGAAAACAAGAATTTCAACTCACAACGATTCCGTAGCAATGATTCTCTCAGACAAACCAAACATGGTATCAACTCGAGTTAAGTCCACAAGAGGTGACAGATAAGGATGCAAAACCTAATAAAATGGAAAGAGACTTAAGTGGAGTCCTTCCCACGACACACCAACAAAATTCACATAAACTGCCATAAAACAATGCAATGAAAACCTTCATGTCATTTCCGCCAGTCATCAGTTCAGGTGGCTGTTCCTATAAAAAAAATATATTAAAACAGACACATTCATAATAACACCGTGGATGACAGCTAACGCCAAGCAAATCAGTCACCAAACATACGTCACTAACAAGTTCCAACAAAGTGGCTTCCGCATGCACTTCTAGCGACACAGAAAAAGGCTTCAACACTCACTTGAAAGACTTACTCATTCAAGTTATTGAATACCCGACTCGAATGTACAGGACTCTTTTATCAGGTAGCGCAGATTATTGGACCGATCACATCACATCTTGAACAACGGAGATTTTCCAAGCAAACCAAACTACCACTGAGGAGGGGTTTTTTTCGCATAGTGTGATCGTCCGGGTGAGGATAGTTCTGAAGTTCTGTTCCAACTGTTGTTAGTGACTGATATTTCTACAATCCTGGCGGAAGTCATCTTCAGAGTCAAGGCCTGATAAAAACAGCCATGACGCCATGATGGTTTTTTAACCAGCTTCCTAGAACTGTGCATATCGTGCAGTATTGTCGAGCATTTTCAGCGCGGCAACATTGGACATTGCAAATTTCCAATAAGAAAACACCTCATTTTCCAAAGGAGACAAGGACACAAATATGGCTAACTTGACGCCATATCTACGCTTTTGTGAAAAATAAACGGATTGCATCATTCAAAGGCAAGCAAAGAGAATAGCAATTGACAACAATTTGATGAAATCTAAACCAAACCCTAAGATAATACGATGCAAACTTTCATCTCAGGCAGAGGGCAGAGGTGCTATGGTAAAACGTCAGAAGAATCCCACAATCAGAAGTATCAACTAAACGTTTTGTGACACTTACGTGATGAATAAGATTATCTGAGATTCTCTTCAAACTTGTCCTCAATTTTATACTCAAACCATGGGCACTACCGTCAACCTGATATAAATCAAATTTAAGATTTCAAATCAATTACTTGATATAGTAAACAACTAAAGGAATATTTTATATTTTATACTCTTGATCAACAACGACGTGAATAAATTAATGCGAAGATTTGATTTTGATAGCATACAGTCTCTAAAATTTAGCATAATAACAAAGGCTCACAAGTTCTTCAAGTGAATTCCTTTGCGCGAATCGAGTCCGTTTGCAAGTTTAGAGATGGTTAAAGTTTTCGCATAAAAAGCATCCCTTTAACTAGGCAATCAAATTTGATCGAGCATTTAGCAAGCACCTGAAATTGTTCTGAAAAACAAGTAGGTACTTTCGAAAGAAATCTTCCATTAAATTGCTCGAGCACACGGCGACATGTAGACAAACTAGTGTTTAGCATGTAGGGAAAATGCGTGTACCTGACAGTGTACGATAGCTCAGCCAATCGGATTGCAGCATTTGCATTAGTTTCCAAGTAGAATTGTACTAATAATCGATAGTCATTGATTAATCGGTATGCGTCTAAATCATACACTACAAGCAGCAGTCTTACCATAACTTCAGGGGCAAAAAATGATGCAACCTGTGAAATACGTTAAATGCAAAGTAGAATAAATAACCTAAATGCAACATGAAAGCATAAAGATCGACATGACATTGGCCCATCATATGGCTGGCCTCCCGTAAGCAGCTGAACACTTGCGGACTAGCCGAAAGACAACTGACTGCACGGAGCTTCGCTCACACACAATTTCACCCTACTTTCTTCCTTGGGAAACCCCGATGTTTTAATTTTAAACTCTGAAATTTGTATTATTAGTTTTTTCGGGAGTGTGCAAATTAAGACTGCAAAACTCCATATCACTTGTCTCTTACTGACAATCCGAGAACGAATTAGGAGTAACATTACATCACACACACACACAAAATTAAAATCAGTAAAAACAGGCTGAAGTGAATAACGTTACTTTGTATTTTCCTTAAGTCATTTGGAAGTTGTCTGAGTGTAATCTTTATTCCTAATAATATCCGGTACAGATCTTGTTCATAGCAGATAAACGTAATACTCACGGCAAACAAATAATAATCAAACAACTGAGACATGCAGATTACTACATCAAAGGCAATAGGCTTCAACACATTCATCATTTGCATGTATTTACCTACAACAAACAATTAACAACAGCAAAAATACATATCAGGTACTTTATGTAATATAATGTAATATTATAAAAGTGATGATCAAGGCACTGATGCACAATAAATTGACAGCTTCCATTTGAATTGTCAAGTTGAAATTATTTTTACGGCAGTTTCTCAATTTAAGCTTATATTTTAGAAATCGAGAGCAACACCATATCTTAACGGAGGACGCCCTTACGCTGAACTACGCCGAGTTGCTGTGTAGATAGCACGCATTAACACAAAAATGCAAGATGTCTGTCATAAATTAGGACGGCGGATAGAATTCTAACGCTCAGACTTCAGGCGTGTGTCGGCCGGAGATGACGTAGATGAAGTCCGTGGAAAACAATTGAAATGTAACCAAATACACAACACACTTTGGTAAGGCCAGAAAACGAGTTAAAATGTGTTACACTCATCCAAATAATTTATTTTCCATGTAGACAATAAGGAAAGGCTCACTCTTGTTATGTCTAACTATGACTGTTTTGCACATAGAGGATTAGCCTTATCTACACCTTTCTTCACACCTCTTTCACAATTAGGCAAGTTACTTAAACTGCATAGTCAAATGATTGGGTCAACAGTAAACTCACCGAACACTCTCAGGACATTGAGAGTCGTGTTGGTTATACAAGGAACTTTAGACAGGAATTTCTGATGTTTCCTGCTATGAACTGATGTTTCTGTCCTAAGAATAAATTATAACAGACTGTTAATTTAAATATAAACAAGGCTCCAACATTAATTTAACATCACTGTTTGGAACTTATCCATTCTTGCAGCCCTAGTTATTTTAACAATTGTAAGCGCATTGCATTCTTATTACTGTACATATCTAAAAAACATGGACATGTGAATTGACGGATATAACTATGCTGCCAAAATCATTCTGTCTTTTATTCTCGCTGCCTTTCCTGCATGTCGTTTCTCTCAAAAACCTTAAACAGACAACCAAGTACACCAAACCTGCTTAAAGGTATTTCACCAGTCTTTTCATCCACGTAATCTAATTTGAGCTCTTCTGTAAACAACAAAAAGGATAAAATAAATGATCTTGAATACTGGACACTGCGAATAACAGGATGAAATCTTTCACCTGGAATGTCTTCATCTTCATCGTCTTCTTCCTCATCGTCTTGACTAAGTCCTCTTGATCTTTTATCATTTTCATTCACGTCTCCGTCTGCTATTTCCTTTTAAAACAGAAAGAATACCTCCATTAACAGCAGCGTAAGTTTTCTGGCCTGGGATTATAAGTTAACCAAGGCACTATTTTCTATTTTGACACATGTTAAAAGTTAACTAACAATTTGGACCAATTGCATGAGAAAAAATATTTGATTTGGTGCAAAGGTGAACCATGGATTGCAAAAATGGAATGCTGTTAAGCAAGCTTTAAAGGCATGTTTTCTACTCTTTTCTAAACTAGATTGCGTATATACATTTCGATTTTCAGTTTTACCCTGTTCACCAGCACTGCCACCCTTCCCACAACCCGCCATGCAGAATGTGGATGTAGATGATTGTTAATAAATTGAACTAAATTTTGAAACTGACGCTAATCTTGCTTTGAAAAACTGGAAAAGACCAGACACTTAACTTTATAGGACTATAAAAAAAAATAATAAATAATGCTGAACTTGACCGTCAAATGGAAAATTGAACTCCAATCTGTGACTGAAAAAGCTCAACAAACAGACAAACAAACAACAAACATTTCTCCAACAATGACATAAACAGAAGGAAACGCATGCAGTAGGACTCACTCCATTCTCTGCTAAGACATCCTCAGCTTCATCTTCGACATACACATAATCAAAAGGATTGCCATGACTAGAGTACCGCGAGAAGAAACCTGTTCATAAGAGACCTTAAATCAGCACTGAAAATATCCTATTACTCTCAACTGAAAAGACTGAATTTATTATGCCATTACTGCCATTATTGTTCCATGAATACACTGAAAAGCACAACTTTTTAACCTTTGTCCTGGAGTAAAAGGACAGCAGGAGATTCCCACAAATGTTAAAAATAGACATGTGAGGGAGCTCATCACAACATGTAAGTATAAAGCTGAACAATCATTACAGTATTGAACCAGCTTTCCACCCCCCCCCCCCCTACAAAATGTTCACACTGAATTGCACAGTTGTCTTTACTGACTTGAGGTTTGAGGGGGATTGCCTAATTGGTTAAAATCAAGAACTGCAACCTTGATGATTGACTAAAGATTGACTTTGTTTATGGCAACTGACCACAGTGTGTGTAACATATCAAGCTGGACATAGCAAGTACAAGTACTCCAAGGATTACACACCTGTATCCGTGGTAACATGGACTGTTCCAGAAGGGGTTCTTTTGTGAGTTTTGAGAAGAGGTTGTTGATGTTTCATAAAACGGAATTCCTGCAATAAATGCTCCAGTTTTCCTCTTGAAGTCAAATTACCATGCGTCAGCAAGCGGAACTTTGATGCACCAAAACATCATCACGATGTGAGTTGAATTGGACCCGCTGTTTTTCAAAAGGTTAGCCGTAACTAGCTTTTAACAACAGAAGTAAATTTCGACCTCGAGTTACTTCGATTAATTAGCCGTAACCAAACTTTTAACAACAGTAGTGACGTGCCGTTTAATTTTGACCCCGAGTTAATTCGATTTAACCTGAGGTTGGACTTAACCAGTCACAGAAGTACCACCGCATCACCGTATACAAGTACTCCCTACTGGCCACAGTTCATTTCTTACAGTACCAGTTGAGAGAATATCATTATGTATCAACCCTTCAAAACCTGATGTCAACATACAATTTCTCTTAACAGGTCCCCATACATTTCTTATAGAACTAGACATCGACTCTGAAAAGCCCCGTGAGGACGAGCCAATAGAGTATGTGTGTATGTATGTAACTAGCTGGGAGAATTCAATGATTTATTATGCCTTTTAAACTGCGACGTCAACATATAAATATTCCCTACTGGTCCCACTGCATTTGTTATAGTACTTGTTGGGAGAGTTTGTTCATGACATCGAAACAATTTACCTATCTGATGAGCTGTACGCTTGATTTCGCGCTGATATTTCAAACGAAGAAATGAAACGAAGATCTAACTTAACATCAATATGCGTAGAATACTATCAGGTAAGTTTACATAAAGTATTACCCGCACAAGAATGTCCACATAAGCGTTATGTTGTGACATAATATCACGAATGTCCCATCGTACTCCAGTCATCAACTGAAGCGTCTGAAACGCAAAACAGCAATGTCTTTGTTTCTGATAATAAAATCTCAAATATAAAATACAATAAAAGTACATTTAGATTTTGAACAGGAAAAAAACAGCCACAGGACAAAGAACCTTCTATTATAGAACAGTTAAACTCTGGAATTCACTGGACTATACTCTTAAGTTGAAACCGACACTAACGGACTTCAAACGTTGCCTGAAGAGGAGTTTAATTTCAAAATGTTTCGAGTTTTTTAATTAGTTGCTTATTCATCAATTAATTGAATTGTACATAGTTTCTATCTTTATTCCGAAAAGCCCTTTTGGGACGAATAAAGTACGTGTGTATGTATTATACATATCGGTTGTTGATGACGAGACTGGAGGCTTGAGGTTTTCGAGTTATCCTCCCGCCTTTTCATGTTAATTTGTACGAAAGCAGAAAGCAAGAAAAAAGAAATTTCAGTTGAGGCATTCGTTATAACATGAAGCTGCCAAATAACCCAGGAAACTTGACATGAGGAATGGCAGGAGGCACAGTTCTCTTGTAGAAGCTGTTCAGTTTTAGCGTGGAGCCTACCTGATCATAGTCAATAACTCTTGAGGCCACACTTCTGTAGACTGGCCGCCGTAATTCCTGGGCAGTACTCACCGTCTGAAGTGGAATCAGTACAGGCTTTATTAGATTCTTTGTGTCAAGTCATCTTTCGAACTCTCAGTTGTGAAGATTGGACAAAAGATTGTAAGATGATTCTCTCTGAACTTACCTGAGAGTAGAACTGAGAAAGAAATGCTCGCTTGTTAGCAGGTATCATGGCCTCCAGGTGTGCATGGAGAGATTCAAACTGACCAGCTAGAAACACCCTGAAATACAAATAGTAAACTGAACAACTCATCAATACACTACAATCAATTTATAAATGTCAATACACGGGATGAGGCTGCCCCCATGTCCAAGCCACAAGCTCATAACTATTAAGCACTTGATAATTAACGAAAAGTTAAAAGGAAGTAGCTAATATGTATACATAGTGACTTATGGAGCAGCTATGAAACGTAGTACAATAAGAGCTCCAGAACTTTTACCAAACAATAAAAAGAAAACAAGAATTTCAACTCACAACGATTCCGTAGCAATGATTCTCTCAGACAAACCAAACATGGTATCAACTCGAGTTAAGTCCACAAGAGGTGACAGATAAGGATGCAAAACCTAATAAAATGGAAAGAGACTTAAGTGGAGTCCTTCCCACGACACACCAACAAAATTCACATAAACTGCCATAAAACAATGCAATGAAAACCTTCATGTCATTTCCGCCAGTCATCAGTTCAGGTGGCTGTTCCTATAAAAAAAATATATTAAAACAGACACATTCATAATAACACCGTGGATGACAGCTAACGCCAAGCAAATCAGTCACCAAACATACGTCACTAACAAGTTCCAACAAAGTGGCTTCCGCATGCACTTCTAGCGACACAGAAAAAGGCTTCAACACTCACTTGAAAGACTTACTCATTCAAGTTATTGAATACCCGACTCGAATGTACAGGACTCTTTTATCAGGTAGCGAAGATTATTGGACCGATCACATCACATCTTGAACAACGGAGATTTTCCAAGCAAAACCAAACTACCACTGAGGAGGGTTTTTTTTCGCATAGTGTGATCGTCCGGGTGAGGATAGTTCTGAAGTTCTGTTCCAATAGTTGTTAGTAACTGATATTTCGACAATCCTGGCGGAAGTCATCTTCAGAGTCAAGGCCTGATAAAAACAGCCATGACGCCATAATGGTTTTTTAACCAGCTTCCTAGAACTGTGCATATCGTGCAGTATTGTCGAGCATTTTCAGCGTGGCAACATTGGACATTGCAAATTTCCAATAAGAAAACACCTCATTTTCCAAAGGAGACAAGGACACAAATATGGCTAACTTGACGCCATATCTACGCTTTTGTGAAAAATAAACGGATTGCATCATTCAAAGGCAAGCAAAGAGAATAGCAATTGACAACAATTTGATGAAATCTAAACCAAACCCTAAGATAATACGATGCAAACTTTCATCTCAGGCAGAGGGCAGAGGTGCTATGGTAAAACGTCAGAAGAATCCCACAATCAGAAGTATCAACTAAACGTTTTGTGACACTTACGTGATGAATAAGATTATCTGAGATTCTCTTCAAACTTGTCCTCAATTTTATACTCAAACCATGGGCACTACCGTCAACCTGATATAAATCAAATTTAAGATTTCAAATCAATTACTTGATATAGTAAACAACTAAAGGAATATTTTATATTTTATACTCTTGATCAACAACGACGTGAATAAATTAATGCGAAGATTTGATTTTGATAGCATACAGTCTCTAAAATTTAGCATAATAACAAAGGCTCACAAGTTCTTCAAGTGAATTCCTTTGCGCGAATCGAGTCCGTTTGCAAGTTTAGAGATGGTTAAAGTTTTCGCATAAAAAGCATCCCTTTAACTAGGCAATCAAATTTGATCGAGCATTTAGCAAGCACCTGAAATTGTTCTGAAAAACAAGTAGGTACTTTCGAAAGAAATCTTCCATTAAATTGCTCGAGCACACGGCGACATGTAGACAAACTAGTGTTTAGCATGTAGGGAAAATGCGTGTACCTGACAGTGTACGATAGCTCAGCCAATCGGATTGCAGCATTTGCATTAGTTTCCAAGTAGAATTGTACTAATAATCGATAGTCATTGATTAATCGGTATGCGTCTAAATCATACACTACAAGCAGCAGTCTTACCATAACTTCAGGGGCAAAAAATGATGCAACCTGTGAAATACGTTAAATGCAAAGTAGAATAAATAACCTAAATGCAACATGAAAGCATAAAGATCGACATGACATTGGCCCATCATATGGCTGGCCTCCCGTAAGCAGCTGAACACTTGCGGACTAGCCGAAAGACAACTGACTGCACGGAGCTTCGCTCACACACAATTTCACCCTACTTTCTTCCTTGGGAAACCCCGATGTTTTAATTTTAAACTCTGAAATTTGTATTATTAGTTTTTTCGGGAGTGTGCAAATTAAGACTGCAAAACTCCATATCACTTGTCTCTTACTGACAATCCGAGAACGAATTAGGAGTAACATTACATCACACACACACACAAAATTAAAATCAGTAAAAACAGGCTGAAGTGAATAACGTTACTTTGTATTTTCCTTAAGTCATTTGGAAGTTGTCTGAGTGTAATCTTTATTCCTAATAATATCCGGTACAGATCTTGTTCATAGCAGATAAACGTAATACTCACGGCAAACAAATAATAATCAAACAACTGAGACATGCAGATTACTACATCAAAGGCAATAGGCTTCAACACATTCATCATTTGCATGTATTTACCTACAACAAACAATTAACAACAGCAAAAATACATATCAGGTACTTTATGTAATATAATGTAATATTATAAAAGTGATGATCAAGGCACTGATGCACAATAAATTGACAGCTTCCATTTGAATTGTCAAGTTGAAATTATTTTTACGGCAGTTTCTCAATTTAAGCTTATATTTTAGAAATCGAGAGCAACACCATATCTTAACGGAGGACGCCCTTACGCTGAACTACGCCGAGTTGCTGTGTAGATAGCACGCATTAACACAAAAATGCAAGATGTCTGTCATAAATTAGGACGGCGGATAGAATTCTAACGCTCAGACTTCAGGCGTGTGTCGGCCGGAGATGACGTAGATGAAGTCCGTGGAAAACAATTGAAATGTAACCAAATACACAACACACTTTGGTAAGGCCAGAAAACGAGTTAAAATGTGTTACACTCATCCAAATAATTTATTTTCCATGTAGACAATAAGGAAAGGCTCACTCTTGTTATGTCTAACTATGACTGTTTTGCACATAGAGGATTAGCCTTATCTACACCTTTCTTCACACCTCTTTCACAATTAGGCAAGTTACTTAAACTGCATAGTCAAATGATTGGGTCAACAGTAAACTCACCGAACACTCTCAGGACATTGAGAGTCGTGTTGGTTATACAAGGAACTTTAGACAGGAATTTCTGATGTTTCCTGCTATGAACTGATGTTTCTGTCCTAAGAATAAATTATAACAGACTGTTAATTTAAATATAAACAAGGCTCCAACATTAATTTAACATCACTGTTTGGAACTTATCCATTCTTGCAGCCCTAGTTATTTTAACAATTGTAAGCGCATTGCATTCTTATTACTGTACATATCTAAAAAACATGGACATGTGAATTGACGGATATAACTATGCTGCCAAAATCATTCTGTCTTTTATTCTCGCTGCCTTTCCTGCATGTCGTTTCTCTCAAAAACCTTAAACAGACAACCAAGTACACCAAACCTGCTTAAAGGTATTTCACCAGTCTTTTCATCCACGTAATCTAATTTGAGCTCTTCTGTAAACAACAAAAAGGATAAAATAAATGATCTTGAATACTGGACACTGCGAATAACAGGATGAAATCTTTCACCTGGAATGTCTTCATCTTCATCGTCTTCTTCCTCATCGTCTTGACTAAGTCCTCTTGATCTTTTATCATTTTCATTCACGTCTCCGTCTGCTATTTCCTTTTAAAACAGAAAGAATACCTCCATTAACAGCAGCGTAAGTTTTCTGGCCTGGGATTATAAGTTAACCAAGGCACTATTTTCTATTTTGACACATGTTAAAAGTTAACTAACAATTTGGACCAATTGCATGAGAAAAAATATTTGATTTGGTGCAAAGGTGAACCATGGATTGCAAAAATGGAATGCTGTTAAGCAAGCTTTAAAGGCATGTTTTCTACTCTTTTCTAAACTAGATTGCGTATATACATTTCGATTTTCAGTTTTACCCTGTTCACCAGCACTGCCACCCTTCCCACAACCCGCCATGCAGAATGTGGATGTAGATGATTGTTAATAAATTGAACTAAATTTTGAAACTGACGCTAATCTTGCTTTGAAAAACTGGAAAAGACCAGACACTTAACTTTATAGGACTATAAAAAAAAATAATAAATAATGCTGAACTTGACCGTCAAATGGAAAATTGAACTCCAATCTGTGACTGAAAAAGCTCAACAAACAGACAAACAAACAACAAACATTTCTCCAACAATGACATAAACAGAAGGAAACGCATGCAGTAGGACTCACTCCATTCTCTGCTAAGACATCCTCAGCTTCATCTTCGACATACACATAATCAAAAGGATTGCCATGACTAGAGTACCGCGAGAAGAAACCTGTTCATAAGAGACCTTAAATCAGCACTGAAAATATCCTATTACTCTCAACTGAAAAGACTGAATTTATTATGCCATTACTGCCATTATTGTTCCATGAATACACTGAAAAGCACAACTTTTTAACCTTTGTCCTGGAGTAAAAGGACAGCAGGAGATTCCCACAAATGTTAAAAATAGACATGTGAGGGAGCTCATCACAACATGTAAGTATAAAGCTGAACAATCATTACAGTATTGAACCAGCTTTCCACCCCCCCCCCCCCTACAAAATGTTCACACTGAATTGCACAGTTGTCTTTACTGACTTGAGGTTTGAGGGGGATTGCCTAATTGGTTAAAATCAAGAACTGCAACCTTGATGATTGACTAAAGATTGACTTTGTTTATGGCAACTGACCACAGTGTGTGTAACATATCAAGCTGGACATAGCAAGTACAAGTACTCCAAGGATTACACACCTGTATCCGTGGTAACATGGACTGTTCCAGAAGGGGTTCTTTTGTGAGTTTTGAGAAGAGGTTGTTGATGTTTCATAAAACGGAATTCCTGCAATAAATGCTCCAGTGATCAGATGTGTGTGTATAAATGCTCTAGTGATAAAATATAATGCTCTAGTAATCAGATGTACGTATGTACTGTATGCATGTCTGTCTGATACAACTACTGCAGTCAATGAAATACCAGCTGCAGGGTACACTGTTTTTTCAATACACTATTTATGTCAAGTATCTGTTCCATGTATGTATGTGTCAACATCAGCTTGGAAATCCTCCACTCCTGACTCCTAATAAATAGTTGTGCCTGCAGTTCTTGTTGACTTACTACACACCAAGATTCGTTCTGCATAATGGGATCGGAACCTTGGTAGTTACAGGTCATTATACATGTCCGTCACTGTGTCCAGATGTTAGAAATGACTGGGTTTCACAAAGATGGTTCATTACATGTTACCAAAATTTGGATGTACACATACATTTATCATGGATATTAGATAGTCACTTATCCACTAGAACTAACTCAGAATTGTACTCAAGAATGAAATGGAAGCTTTTTACTACATATATGTATTTCTTAAGTGAAAATGAGTATAGAAAATAGCAAATAAAGGATGATTAATATTTTACATGCATGTGACACACAGCTCTCAGGTCTGCACAAAATGTGGGCTAGCGAGTCACGTGAGCCACTCCAGTTAGCCTAAATATTACATTCTGTAAAGCCTGGATAGCACCTGGTTAGCCTAAATAGCCCCTAACCCTTCATAAATTTTGTTGGTTTGTGGTTAGCCTTAGAGACAGCAGGGATCACTTGCTTCCATGGCTTGTATGGCTCACTTCCTGGTTAGCCTAAATAACACTCCTATTAGCCTAACTAGAACTTTGGTTAGACTAAAGAGCACTCTGCTAAGCCTAAGCTAGCTTGATTTGCTTGTGGTTAGCCTTTAACAGGAGGGGGGGAGGTAGGGATCCTGACTCACATGGCTTGTATGGCTCACTTGTTGGGTAGCTTCAATAACATTCCTATTAGCCTAACTACAGTAGAACTCTGGTTAGACTAAAGAGCACTCTGCTTAACCTAAGCTAGCTTGATTTGCTTGTGGTTAGCCCTTTTGAAAGGTTAGGGATCCTGGTTCACATGGCTCACACGCTTGACTCACTGGCTTGCAATTTGTCTATGCTCCAGCTCTCCATATCTATACAGCTTAATCACATTATGCGAGCAGAGCTTGAAAATAGTGCCATCTGGGAATCCACAAAATGTAGCTTGTCCTGGCGGGCAAGTAACTTCTCATTCTCACTTGCGTGATGGGCAGAGGCTCAGACAAGTCATCTGCCAACTAAATTAAAAAAAGACCAAACTAAGACTTGCTTGTCCAAAGGGCAAGTTGGAATTCAAGTTTTTTCAAGCCCTGTACACATAGTGTGGTATCAGCTTTATTTATTTACCGAAAGATCAATGATTTTGAATGACGCCTTAACAGGACATAACTCCCAAGCATCATTTTCCAGGAACATGCGTAGCTCATCCATCCTTGACCTGTGGTATGTCTTAAAGTACTTCACAGTCTGTGTTCGGATGGAATCGTGGAGATCTTCTGATGTACTGCCACAAAATTCTTCACCAACAGCAATCAATCTGGGAAAAGGACAATGAAACATGTGGCTGTGTTGTGTATTCTTTGCACTTCCATACATAAGTAAATAACTGTCTGTTATANACAATCAGAAGTATCAACTAAACGTTTTGTGACACTTACGTGATGAATAAGATTATCTGAGATTCTCTTCAAACTTGTCCTCAATTTTATACTCAAACCATGGGCACTACCGTCAACCTGATATAAATCAAATTTAAGATTTCAAATCAATTACTTGATATAGTAAACAACTAAAGGAATATTTTATATTTTATACTCTTGATCAACAACGACGTGAATAAATTAATGCGAAGATTTGATTTTGATAGCATACAGTCTCTAAAATTTAGCATAATAACAAAGGCTCACAAGTTCTTCAAGTGAATTCCTTTGCGCGAATCGAGTCCGTTTGCAAGTTTAGAGATGGTTAAAGTTTTCGCATAAAAAGCATCCCTTTAACTAGGCAATCAAATTTGATCGAGCATTTAGCAAGCACCTGAAATTGTTCTGAAAAACAAGTAGGTACTTTCGAAAGAAATCTTCCATTAAATTGCTCGAGCACACGGCGACATGTAGACAAACTAGTGTTTAGCATGTAGGGAAAATGCGTGTACCTGACAGTGTACGATAGCTCAGCCAATCGGATTGCAGCATTTGCATTAGTTTCCAAGTAGAATTGTACTAATAATCGATAGTCATTGATTAATCGGTATGCGTCTAAATCATACACTACAAGCAGCAGTCTTACCATAACTTCAGGGGCAAAAAATGATGCAACCTGTGAAATACGTTAAATGCAAAGTAGAATAAATAACCTAAATGCAACATGAAAGCATAAAGATCGACATGACATTGGCCCATCATATGGCTGGCCTCCCGTAAGCAGCTGAACACTTGCGGACTAGCCGAAAGACAACTGACTGCACGGAGCTTCGCTCACACACAATTTCACCCTACTTTCTTCCTTGGGAAACCCCGATGTTTTAATTTTAAACTCTGAAATTTGTATTATTAGTTTTTTCGGGAGTGTGCAAATTAAGACTGCAAAACTCCATATCACTTGTCTCTTACTGACAATCCGAGAACGAATTAGGAGTAACATTACATCACACACACACACAAAATTAAAATCAGTAAAAACAGGCTGAAGTGAATAACGTTACTTTGTATTTTCCTTAAGTCATTTGGAAGTTGTCTGAGTGTAATCTTTATTCCTAATAATATCCGGTACAGATCTTGTTCATAGCAGATAAACGTAATACTCACGGCAAACAAATAATAATCAAACAACTGAGACATGCAGATTACTACATCAAAGGCAATAGGCTTCAACACATTCATCATTTGCATGTATTTACCTACAACAAACAATTAACAACAGCAAAAATACATATCAGGTACTTTATGTAATATAATGTAATATTATAAAAGTGATGATCAAGGCACTGATGCACAATAAATTGACAGCTTCCATTTGAATTGTCAAGTTGAAATTATTTTTACGGCAGTTTCTCAATTTAAGCTTATATTTTAGAAATCGAGAGCAACACCATATCTTAACGGAGGACGCCCTTACGCTGAACTACGCCGAGTTGCTGTGTAGATAGCACGCATTAACACAAAAATGCAAGATGTCTGTCATAAATTAGGACGGCGGATAGAATTCTAACGCTCAGACTTCAGGCGTGTGTCGGCCGGAGATGACGTAGATGAAGTCCGTGGAAAACAATTGAAATGTAACCAAATACACAACACACTTTGGTAAGGCCAGAAAACGAGTTAAAATGTGTTACACTCATCCAAATAATTTATTTTCCATGTAGACAATAAGGAAAGGCTCACTCTTGTTATGTCTAACTATGACTGTTTTGCACATAGAGGATTAGCCTTATCTACACCTTTCTTCACACCTCTTTCACAATTAGGCAAGTTACTTAAACTGCATAGTCAAATGATTGGGTCAACAGTAAACTCACCGAACACTCTCAGGACATTGAGAGTCGTGTTGGTTATACAAGGAACTTTAGACAGGAATTTCTGATGTTTCCTGCTATGAACTGATGTTTCTGTCCTAAGAATAAATTATAACAGACTGTTAATTTAAATATAAACAAGGCTCCAACATTAATTTAACATCACTGTTTGGAACTTATCCATTCTTGCAGCCCTAGTTATTTTAACAATTGTAAGCGCATTGCATTCTTATTACTGTACATATCTAAAAAACATGGACATGTGAATTGACGGATATAACTATGCTGCCAAAATCATTCTGTCTTTTATTCTCGCTGCCTTTCCTGCATGTCGTTTCTCTCAAAAACCTTAAACAGACAACCAAGTACACCAAACCTGCTTAAAGGTATTTCACCAGTCTTTTCATCCACGTAATCTAATTTGAGCTCTTCTGTAAACAACAAAAAGGATAAAATAAATGATCTTGAATACTGGACACTGCGAATAACAGGATGAAATCTTTCACCTGGAATGTCTTCATCTTCATCGTCTTCTTCCTCATCGTCTTGACTAAGTCCTCTTGATCTTTTATCATTTTCATTCACGTCTCCGTCTGCTATTTCCTTTTAAAACAGAAAGAATACCTCCATTAACAGCAGCGTAAGTTTTCTGGCCTGGGATTATAAGTTAACCAAGGCACTATTTTCTATTTTGACACATGTTAAAAGTTAACTAACAATTTGGACCAATTGCATGAGAAAAAATATTTGATTTGGTGCAAAGGTGAACCATGGATTGCAAAAATGGAATGCTGTTAAGCAAGCTTTAAAGGCATGTTTTCTACTCTTTTCTAAACTAGATTGCGTATATACATTTCGATTTTCAGTTTTACCCTGTTCACCAGCACTGCCACCCTTCCCACAACCCGCCATGCAGAATGTGGATGTAGATGATTGTTAATAAATTGAACTAAATTTTGAAACTGACGCTAATCTTGCTTTGAAAAACTGGAAAAGACCAGACACTTAACTTTATAGGACTATAAAAAAAAATAATAAATAATGCTGAACTTGACCGTCAAATGGAAAATTGAACTCCAATCTGTGACTGAAAAAGCTCAACAAACAGACAAACAAACAACAAACATTTCTCCAACAATGACATAAACAGAAGGAAACGCATGCAGTAGGACTCACTCCATTCTCTGCTAAGACATCCTCAGCTTCATCTTCGACATACACATAATCAAAAGGATTGCCATGACTAGAGTACCGCGAGAAGAAACCTGTTCATAAGAGACCTTAAATCAGCACTGAAAATATCCTATTACTCTCAACTGAAAAGACTGAATTTATTATGCCATTACTGCCATTATTGTTCCATGAATACACTGAAAAGCACAACTTTTTAACCTTTGTCCTGGAGTAAAAGGACAGCAGGAGATTCCCACAAATGTTAAAAATAGACATGTGAGGGAGCTCATCACAACATGTAAGTATAAAGCTGAACAATCATTACAGTATTGAACCAGCTTTCCACCCCCCCCCCCCCCTACAAAATGTTCACACTGAATTGCACAGTTGTCTTTACTGACTTGAGGTTTGAGGGGGATTGCCTAATTGGTTAAAATCAAGAACTGCAACCTTGATGATTGACTAAAGATTGACTTTGTTTATGGCAACTGACCACAGTGTGTGTAACATATCAAGCTGGACATAGCAAGTACAAGTACTCCAAGGATTACACACCTGTATCCGTGGTAACATGGACTGTTCCAGAAGGGGTTCTTTTGTGAGTTTTGAGAAGAGGTTGTTGATGTTTCATAAAACGGAATTCCTGCAATAAATGCTCCAGTCATCAGATGTGTGTGTATAAATGCTCTAGTGATAAAATATAATGCTCTAGTAATCAGATGTACGTATGTACTGTATGCATGTCTGTCTGATACAACTACTGCAGTCAATGAAATACCAGCTGCAGGGTACACTGTTTTTTCAATACACTATTTATGTCAAGTATCTGTTCCATGTATGTATGTGTCAACATCAGCTTGGAAATCCTCCACTCCTGACTCCTAATAAATAGTTGTGCCTGCAGTTCTTGTTGACTTACTACACACCAAGATTCGTTCTGCATAATGGGATCGGAACCTTGGTAGTTACAGGTCATTATACATGTCCGTCACTGTGTCCAGATGTTAGAAATGACTGGGTTTCACAAAGATGGTTCATTACATGTTACCAAAATTTGGATGTACACATACATTTATCATGGATATTAGATAGTCACTTATCCACTAGAACTAACTCAGAATTGTACTCAAGAATGAAATGGAAGCTTTTTACTACATATATGTATTTCTTAAGTGAAAATGAGTATAGAAAATAGCAAATAAAGGATGATTAATATTTTACATGCATGTGACACACAGCTCTCAGGTCTGCACAAAATGTGGGCTAGCGAGTCACGTGAGCCACTCCAGTTAGCCTAAATATTACATTCTGTAAAGCCTGGATAGCACCTGGTTAGCCTAAATAGCCCCTAACCCTTCATAAATTTTGTTGGTTTGTGGTTAGCCTTAGAGACAGCAGGGATCACTTGCTTCCATGGCTTGTATGGCTCACTTCCTGGTTAGCCTAAATAACACTCCTATTAGCCTAACTAGAACTTTGGTTAGACTAAAGAGCACTCTGCTAAGCCTAAGCTAGCTTGATTTGCTTGTGGTTAGCCTTTAACAGGAGGGGGGGAGGTAGGGATCCTGACTCACATGGCTTGTATGGCTCACTTGTTGGGTAGCTTCAATAACATTCCTATTAGCCTAACTACAGTAGAACTCTGGTTAGACTAAAGAGCACTCTGCTTAACCTAAGCTAGCTTGATTTGCTTGTGGTTAGCCCTTTTGAAAGGTTAGGGATCCTGGTTCACATGGCTCACACGCTTGACTCACTGGCTTGCAATTTGTCTATGCTCCAGCTCTCCATATCTATACAGCTTAATCACATTATGCGAGCAGAGCTTGAAAATAGTGCCATCTGGGAATCCACAAAATGTAGCTTGTCCTGGCGGGCAAGTAACTTCTCATTCTCACTTGCGTGATGGGCAGAGGCTCAGACAAGTCATCTGCCAACTAAATTAAAAAAAGACCAAACTAAGACTTGCTTGTCCAAAGGGCAAGTTGGAATTCAAGTTTTTTCAAGCCCTGTACACATAGTGTGGTATCAGCTTTATTTATTTACCGAAAGATCAATGATTTTGAATGACGCCTTAACAGGACATAACTCCCAAGCATCATTTTCCAGGAACATGCGTAGCTCATCCATCCTTGACCTGTGGTATGTCTTAAAGTACTTCACAGTCTGTGTTCGGATGGAATCATGGAGATCTTCTGATGTACTGCCACAAAATTCTTCACCAACAGCAATCAATCTGGGAAAAGGACAATGAAACATGTGGCTGTGTTGTGTATTCTTTGCACTTCCATACATAAGTAAATAACTGTCTGTTATATTCATTGTACACTATTACACTCTTTCTAACAAACACCAGCGTACTAAATTTTAAATGGTGGAAAGAAAAAACATGTATTACCTGTTCACAAGATCCAAGACGTAAATGAAGTCATCATATTTAAAATAAGACAGATCATGTGCAAGAATGTGTGTTTTTATTCTCTCTTGGACTTCCTAGACGTAACCATTGACAGAAATCATCATTTAAAATGTCTTAATATTACAACTTGTTCACTGTTTCATTTAATTGAACAACACAAATTTGGTATTATACACCATATATAGATAAAATATAAATGATATTACACGGCCGCAACAAGATATGATTCTATGTTCAAGATACAACAACAATAATTCATCAGTGAGCACAGTGACCAAGTGAGATTATATTTTTATTTATTTTTTGGATTTGCCACACAAACAAAAATAAATATTGTGGTTGCATGGGTTAGTAGCGAGATATTGTGGGTGCATGTAGAATTACATCATATTCCAAATATCTGTTTTATGGGGATCTTAAATATGCATTTAGGCAGTGTAATGGGGCAGGAAAAAACCCAGGTCCATTAATTCCCTGGGCAAGTAAATTTTGCTCTTGGGCAAATGAAAATAGAAGTTCAGAGGCCCAGTGGGCAAGTGAAATTAGCCTCAGTAGTCTTGTGAGTGTGAATGAAAATGTCAGCTTGATGAATGATAATTTACAGTCAGAAGCTATTTGAATGCAAGATTAGTTATCCACTGAGTTGAAAGCATGGATTAGTTAGGAATCCAAGCATACTTTGCTCCCATATGTCCTCTGATTGCCATACTGGCTGCCACATTGGCAAGTGATATTTTAGTGGGGGCAAGTGAAAACTGAAATTTACTAGTCCACTGGGCAAGTGGAGTTGAATTTTTTTTCCTGCCATGTGTAATAACAATTATACAGTATTTTAAAAAATATTTGCCTTGGAGTGATAAAAAGAACTTGCACAGGACTGGGAATATTTTTCCCTGTCAGTGTGTGTCAAAGGACTCAATGCTCTTGTCCATGCATATTTGGCCTTCTCATTAGGACAAATACAAGTAACAGTTCAAGACACTGGCAGCTAATGACTAATGTAACAACTCTTGCCGCAAACAAGGCTGCAATGCTTGAATCAATTGATTACATGTAATCTTCAACAGGCACTGAACAATAAGGAATCGATTACCTTCCATATCCTATTGAGTCCATGTTCTAGTTTTTGCTGAATGTAATTTTTGTTGTACGTGGCCTCAGCAGAAGGCTCATCCTGTTCAGCCTCACTTACATGCATAGCAGGGTCATACTGCTCATGCCATTTGATTATGTGGTGATAGTTTAACATGAGAGACCACAGCACCTGAAATATAAGAGTATCAACATATAGCTAGGGGACAACAGCATCTGTGAATATTTATTTTATCTCAACAGGATTCACTTTACATACAGTAGCTGCACCTGCAATATGAATGGCAGTCAAAACTGAGCTGTCCAAAATGACACAACAATAGTCTTTTTCTTCTCAGTAAACGAATATAGAGACAATGCTAATGTCGACTTGGTCTCTTCTGATACTTAACTCTAGAATTCTGGGTTTAATTTGATGAGTAACAGCATTATTTTGTTCAAAATAAGGTAACTACAGTATTTTCCCACTTGGTGACACTTGACGAGTAGCAAGGGAGTTGACAGATGCTAGCAACCCATTTTTTGTGTCATACTAAAAGCTTGGAGACATGACATGTTTCTTGTTTTCACTTCTTACAATCTGATATGGTTTTTGGCAGTATAAATCTCTTTTCATGAATATTAAATGCAATCTCCATTGACTGACTTCATGCCTTTTGTTTTAACATGGTTTACCCTTTTAGTTCACCTACGTAGGAGAGCTCTTCATTTTTCAAAACTAATTTATAATATCATACATGTAAGATATATACATGTTGTAAACAGGATAGGATGATAAGCGCAGGAACAGTTGTACTTGTGTAATAACACCACTTGTCATACCTTGCAGAGATCCAATAAACAAGGGGTAAAATGGTCCAATCCAACTTTCTGAAATACAATTATACAAATAATTCAATATTTTCAATTACAGCAGCAAACACGAGGGAGACGTATGACTTAAAAAGCTGCACATATACCTTGCACTGCTCTTCAAAATGAAGATGCTGAAAACCATCTTCAGACACAGCTTCTGTGGAATATTCCTTAAGAACATACAAAAAATAGTTAAATTAAGGGGACAAACTGATCAGAAAGCAACAAATATTGTTACATCTGCACACTTTACTAACATTAATATAGTATCAAAAAGAATATTTTAAGAAAACATTTTGTTCTTAGTAGACAGATATAAGTATTGTGCAAAATATATACAAAATATTAAACAACATTATTATATACTAGACTTCAGTGTTTTGCTGGAAAATACACCACTCATAAAATTCACACAAAACTACATCTGGAACACCTGAGTGGCATATTTTCAATATCCTCACTGATGACAATGTTGATGTCATCATTTCTCACTTTTTCACAGTGGTTTGTACAAACAGTCAATTTCTTTGATATAATAACAAGAAAATTACATGGCGCCTTGAAGATATGAATTTTTTTCTCATGTTAAAATCAATATTATAATAATATCTTTTTTACTACCAAAAAAATAAAATTTGTATCTTCGTACCAAGGTGTAATATCCTCAGTGTATATATTGAAATATTACATTCAAATGGAAATAATAATTATTACAAAGCATTACAGCAAACTAGTCTAACTTACAATATTAATAGCTTGCTCTTAAGAAAGTATAAATCATAAACTTTGTTTTATGCACTTTTTAACAAATGCAATCTTCAATTAGAAGAATACAGTAACATGGGTGGAGACCACATACACTGTAGAAAAGAAAATAGGAAAAAACCTTACAAGTACTTCAACAGAGAAATCTGCTAACGTAACAAAATGCCTCAGACCTAAAAAAGAGATTATTATTCTCAATAATTTACATACCCCATTATGATCCAATAAAACAGAAAAGGATTCATGATTAATAGCAGTCATAAAATGAATGATCAGCTGGTCCATAGCAATCTGTGTCTTCCCAAGGTATCGATAAGCAGTCAGTAGACGTTCGTAATTTACAGGAGTGAAGGTTTTGCACATCTTTCCCAAGGCCACATCAAGTTGTTTCTGTGTATGGACAGTACAAGTATAATATTAAACTGTTACACACAACTACATATAGGTTTAATAGATTCAACTGCAGAAATCATAAACTGCCAGCTCACCTCAATGTCTATAAGAGTCTCTTGGAGATTGGAACTCAGTTCACTGAAAATTACATAAGATACATGTACTCAAAACAATTTTGTTAACCACAAAATGTTCCATTGGAGATGGGTGGACTTCAATACAGTGCAATACAGTGCAATACAGTGCAACACAGTGCAACACAGTGCAATACAGGGCAATACAATGCAATCAAAATTTATTAATATGTAAGAAAACATAAAAGGAAACATCAGAGGTTATGAGTTTCCCAATATAATCATCTGTGTTCTGTTGGTTCAACTTTGTAGAAGGTAAGTTGGCAACTAGTTGCACTGTTAATAAAACCTGAAACAGACTTAAGTGTACATGCACATGTACCTTATACAGTGTATATGCCACTCAATCCCAGAATGCCCAGTGACACATAGGGCTTCAATAGTGTATATGAACATATACCTTATACAGTTGTAATGTTTGAATGCTCTAGCTGCCTTCTCACACTCAAGGCACAAATCAATGGCACCTGGGTAATCCTCTTCCTGCAGAAAGTAACATTCATTGACTTGTACATGTAATCTATACTGACAAGAGATACTTCTGCTAAATTAAAATATTCTTTAACTAAGCCAAAGAATGACCTTTTCTCCTGACCTAAAATATTAATGTTATTGTCAAAGAGGTCTGCATGATATGATATACGTATTTAACTATAACACATTGAGATGGCACAACATGACTTGTACATGTAAGAATTGACAACTGAGATAGATTGTTGTTTTCATTTGTGTTCTAGAGTGAAGATTGGCCATGTAAGTTACCCTTGCTATCTTCTTCATATATTTCTATAATCTAATAATAACCACGTAACAAATTATATCAGAGAACATTCTTTGATTAAGGGTAGTCACTTCCATTCAAAATCTAAGCAATAAATTAAGCTCCACACAAATCCATATATACATTTGTATGTTAAAAAAACTTGTCTGAAAATGAACAATAACCCACATTTGAGAGAAAAAGATGGAGTTTCAGTGTAATTATAACATTTTGAGGAAATTTTCAACTGAGGGTCTTACAGTGTGTTAGTCTTAGGAACAGTGTTCTAAGGTAATTTGTCAAAAGTTCATCAGTAGTCCTATCCTCGCCAAAACTTTTTAAAAGACTTCATGTGATTAAAACCATGCCTTGAACATGTCACTTTCAGGTGTTCAGGAAGTCACATTTTTCCCACTACCAAGATAAATGTAACCCTGACTAGCCAGGATTATCAATAGAGGTTGTGTATTACTGTTGTTCTCAAGTTTGACCAGTCAGTAATAAAAGGAGACCAATAATTGCTGGAAAATATCAGTATTAATTTGTTTGCATGGGCTGAATGGGCCACCCTGTTTAAATTAAGTTTTACTTTACTTTACTTTACTTTACTTTACTTTGACATCAGAACTACCATATTGCTGTATAACATGATTATAATTGTAATTCTATCCCAACTTCTTTCTCCTCCCCTTCCACCCCTTATCTTGAAGTGAATATATATAGATATCTTGTTTGTAAAGAATGTAATGTACCTCAAGCATTTCTTTCAGTCTGACATCTGTCCTTTGCTGAGAAAAATAAGATAATAAAAAGTTAATGATTATTTAATTTACTTGGCAACTACACTCAAATACTCCACTCCAACTTAATATATTTAAAAAGTTAAGTCAATTGTTGTTGGAAAGACAATGATTCATTGTTAGGCTTAACAAGCATGACATCATCAGTTCTTCAGGTGTTTCACAGTACACATGTCTCATATGGACAAAATCTTATTACGGGTTATGCAAGTAATATCCACATGGGGTACAATGTATCTTCTTCCTTACCAAGGTCTTAATTGTTCTCAGAGACTCAAGCAGAATGAGTAGATGCTGTTTCTTGCGGTGTTTGGCCAAAATTCCTAATCCACCAACAGATACTCCTCTTTTGGCCTTGTCCAAGTGTCTTGAAAATAATAAAAAAGGAAATTTTGGAGGCAAACTACTTGTATCATCCTCACTTGACCAGTATCAGGGTGTCATTTAACTCTATCAGTTTTTATATATTGAGCACATCAGAGAGGGAACAGAACCTTTAAAAAAATTAAAATGGCTATAAAATGTGTCCAGTGAAAATGTTATTGTATTGCTCAATGCACTGCTTGTCTCTATTTGAAATGCCAGAAAACAAGACCTGTAAATTAATGATTGCTCTGATGAATCCTTGGTTGCCCATTAAAAACAACATTTACCCATTGATTTGAAAGTGTGGCTTTCCGTTGGCAGAGGAATGAAAGAAGCAGAAAACATTTTTCTCACACACGGCTGAGAGGCTGAGTACAAGTGTGCTGGGGGTTTTCAGGTCATGTGGCTTGTGTAAGGTTCAGTTTTTGTCTTCCCATCTGCCAATGCCTGACATGCCCCACCCACCCACCCATGAAGTATTTTTAGAATGCATTAAGTTGAAGTGAAATATTATTCTCTAGCTATTTTTTTGTGTCATTGTAAGACAGCTATGTTGTTCTGTTAATATAGGTCAGGCTGCATGGTTGGGCTTGGCATGGCTCCCAGCAGTGTGTGAGAAGTGTTTCACATGTGTTATTGCAAAAATTAGATTTTACAAGAATGAAAAAAATGAGCCAATTTTGAAGTCCAGCCAGACTCTTGACTTCACTGTAAAATAGTTGACTGTTGAACTAGTTGGTCATCTCAGCCATTAATATTGGCCACTAATATTTCAATAGTTGACTGACAGTGAACTTGTTGGTCATATCAGATGACTAAACAACCACTTTTTTTCAAGCACTGTATGTTGTACTGCACTTTCATTAATTATTTTTTGAAAACATTTTCATGTCCAGTACAGAGAGGTATTTGTAATGTGCAATTCAACAAGCTCAAGAAACTTTGATCCAACCTTCTTCCTCTGTCACAGATTGAAGAGGCAGTGTGTAATGATTCTTGCAAGTCCATCACTCTTTGTAATTCCTGGAAAATATTCAAAGTATCACAAGGCACAGTGTTTCTTCTTTAAATAACTTAGTGGTCAAAAGATCAAATGACAGTTGATGACACAACACTTTTTTCACAGACACATGATCGTCATCACATGCATTTCTGATTAACTGAATGGCAGAGATTATAACTGATGATTGTTAGAAAGGGTATGTATGGAGCCTACAAACTCCTTTAATTTCAAACTTCAGCATTAACTATGTACCCCCTCTGGCTGGACAGAAACAACCAAACAATAAAGCTCAAAAGCCACAGCACCAGTTTGATAATTCAACAATCATAAAAACTTTATTCTACACTGCTCTAAATTTATACACTAAACTACATGTAATAAAAAAAATTGCTGAATACTAGTCATACTATGTAAACTACAACAAGTGGTTTGTTTTTATTTTTTATTTGGAAATAAAATAATTTATAACTCCTGAGACTAAAACCATAACTGCAGTTCTACATGTAGCAATTGAAACATTTTGCACCAGTTCAAAGTATTTTGTACCGGTTCAGAAACAAACTGTACCAAAGGCAAAATTGAACTACAACATATACATGTATATTTATATGCCAAGAGAGAAGTTGAGGTCTTTTGCAGCAGTCACTACAAACCCTCATTCGCTGAGTCCAGCAGGACTGATAAAGGCCATGCTTTGAAACACAACATATATAAATTACATAATGTGTCAAGTAATTCTTGTATTTTGATTGGTTCTTAGTTATGATCTATTAGAGGAGAGATGCATTGGTGTCGTCAGTAACATTTTTTTTTGGTTTGTTTCTTTATTATGCAAAACAAGTAAATTCCATGTTGCAATGTATCTGTTCAGTAATAGATCACAGAAGACACTGAAATGTGAAATGAACAACAGCACTTCACACACTCACCTGATGGCTCGTTTCCCACTTTTCTGTTCTTACCACATTTTGACATCAGCAGCGATCTATTACTGAACAGACACATGACAACATGGAATCTATTTGTTAATCTGACAATGTCAAGGTGTTTCTGAATGTTACCTGTACATATGCACTGTGATTTTCAAGAACCTTTGTGTACAGTGTTTTTGAGACCTAGAATAAAAATTAAATTTTTAAGAATTCAGCATGTCATCAGATGATAGTTTTACTAAATATTAAAAAGTTTTTTAGGTCTATCCATTTCAATTGATCCATTTGAGTTGGAGTTTCACGTCTGAATTCAAAGTTAAAATATTCAGAGTTTGAGTTCAGGGTAACAGTCCCTATTTTTAGTCCCAGTGTGCTCTGGTTATAACCTATATTAGACTACTTAGGTTAGATTTATTAGGGTTAGATTTGGGATAATAGCTTTTATTTAAAGGTACATGTACGTGTAAGGTAATACTAAATTAGATTCATTGAATTACAACTCTAAAAGTCAAGGAACATAAAAAGATGGAAGTTAGACTCTGACTTGAAATTTCAATGCAAACACAATATTATTCTAACATGACTTTAACTGTGACTTCAACTAAAAAATTAAATGAAAGTCATTCAAATTCCCTCAAATGGGTGTTGTAGAGTAAACATTCCATGAACCCACTATCGGTGAGGAAAGTTAAACAGCAAATCCATCCTTTAAGAGAATCAAGAGGAGTCGGTTTTCTTAGATCTGTAAATGCCTGGTTCCACATTATTACTGGTAACACATTACAGTGAGGTGACAATGTTATATCAAAAATATCAAATCTAAATCCTTAGCCACAATAATGAAAACAAATAATTAGTCTTACTGCCTGGAGTTGTCGTCGAAGATCATTTCTGTAATCATCCAGTTCATCAAGATCTAGAACTTCTGGAAGTTGCTTTAAAAAACATCAAACAATAAAATTACATTTGATCAATTTTTAATAATTATACAACAGGAATACCAACTATAAATATTGTACATTCAATAATATTATTCTAAACTATCTGAGTGTGCTTCCTGCATCGTTCACTCTACAAACACTAGCAATAAAATAAACATTCCGATGAAATAGTGGATGTACAGTGTAGAGCCTCTGTGTGAATATGCCACTACTAATTAATCTTAGTTATTATTTATTAATTACTTATTTAATTTATAATTGGATAATGCATATAAAAGAGTTCTTGTCCAAGAAACTGAATAATTAGAATTCTTTAACAGACTAATAAACAGCTGCACTGCATATATATAAATATCTCCAGGATTTATGAAAACCGTGTTAAA